TGAGTTTCATTTTTTATGTTTTTGACGTATATTTCTAAATTTTCATGAGGTCTAACTACTGTTTTTTTGTGGCTTGTCTAAAATGCCATTGCTAAAAACCAAAGTCATAAAGATTTACTGCTGTTTTAATATTTTAATAGTAATAATAGTTCTTACATTAAAATATTTGATACATTTTTAGTTAACATTCATACATAATATGGGGCAGGGGTCCAGCTTCATTATTCTGTATAGATATTTAATTGTGAAATCGTGAGGTGTTGAAAGGACTATTTTCCCTCATTCAAATAGTCTTGGTATTTTTGTTAAAAATCAGTTTACCATGTACATATGCATTCATTTCTGGACTCAATTCTATTCACTATTAGTGGAGAATACTATTCAAAGTCCAGCATCTTGGTACCAGGTGTGCTCATTAGCTACTGAACTGCCATTTCTATTTTCTCTTAATGGACAGAGGTAAGAAGTGGAAGTATACAGACATACTGATGATTCTCTCAATATATACATACAAGTAATTTCCCTTTTAAAATGATCATATCAACTTTCTTTTTCTACTTAACATCACAGGGAATAATTTTATACTCCCTTTTTAAATTTCTGTAAATAATGTTTCAAGAAACATTATTATTTTTCATGAAAAAACTAGCTTTAATTTTTCCTCAAAACATACTTTTACTCAATCGTTTTATTTAGTGTAAGAGATCATTTTCTCCTCTTCATTCTGATTCTGAGGGTACTGACACAGAACAACTTTCACTAGATCTTGTTCTTGCTCTGCTGCTGCAAGTCTTAGAACTCTTATGTCTTCACGAAATAATCCTAACCACTGGGAACCTTGATACCTCGCCTGCCCATTCCTCTTCACACATACCTATTCTACATATTGCAACTCTGATTAGATTACAAAATTTCAAACTGCTGTAACTCAATGCAAATATCGTAAAAGGTAATAGAGATGATGGGGTTGCCTGTCTAGATTCCAGTTTTTGCATACGGATGCTCCCTTCACTGAGATAAGAAATATAAGAGAATATACATTAGGCCAAAGACACGTTCAGATTTAGATTTATCAAATCCAATGTGGCAATAAGACTGCCTAGTAGAAATATATAATGGGTAGCTCAAAATCTAAGTCTGGAGTTCAGACAGAGGTATAGAGAGAAATGGATGTCTGTAACTGCATAGAGAGGCTTATGTATCAATTTTGGAAGGGACAGCCTGGGAATAGGAAATAATAAAGTATATGATAACAAAGACCAAAAGTGGTAGATTTGGAAGAATGGATGAAAATGTCAAGCTGATATTTTTTATTAATTATTAATAAAAATGGTAAAAGCTAGAGGTTTATTAATGACAGTTTTAAAAAACAAATGAGTTTGACTAGTGGACATCATCATTGACTATGGGAGGAACAGTTTCAAAAATAGTGCAGACGAGGTCAGATGCAGGTTCCATGTATACAAAATAAAGAATCAGCCAGGCATGGTGTTGTATGCCTGTAATATTACCACTTAGGATGTAGAGGCAAAAAAACTGCTAGATTAGGGCCACCTTGGGCTGTTGAGTGAGGCCCTATCTCAAAAAAGGCTTTAAAAATCCAGAGGGAGAACATACCCATCTAAACAAGTACTTTCTGTTCCCAACAGAATTTGACTGTGATTGAAAAGGAAAAATCAGAGAGGATACAAGGTTTTATGTTGGAATACAATGTTTTGTGTAATGGTAAACCATATATGTATAACTAGGAAAATAATCACATTTCATTTATACCACTGTTCTTTCTGATGATCAATATTTTTAAAGTATGAACACTGACCTAAAAGTATACTTGATGATCACCTACTATAATCTCATTTTATTCATGAATGTGAAGCACAGACTTGTGTTCATAGTTGACCTATAAGAATATTCAAATCATTTTATCCCCACCCCCAGGTTTTCTTTTTAATCACCTACCCTCTCCATCCTTTTTTTCTGAAGCAAGGTCTCACACTGTAGTTCAACCGACTGGGAACTATACAACTCAGAATGACTCTAAACTTGTAATTTTCCTGCCTCAGCCTCCTGAGCATTGGGATTGTAGGCATGTGGCACTACATATGGCTCATCCATCACTCTATTTCATAAAGTGGAATCTTACTTCCTATTCACTTCTAGATTTTTACATGTATTGACTTGTCTGTATATAAATCTATAAAAAGTTAGCACAGGAATAGACTTATATACTAAACACTAAATTTAAGGTACAAAACTGTTTCACCAGCCTAAATTAACTTTTATGTCACACTGTAGTAAGAATACAAATGCTATAGAATGTCTATTTCCTGACTCTGGGAATCATTAATCTGTTCTTGTCATTAATTCTGACATTTAAACAATGCTCTAGAAATGCAACCATACAGTAAGCTATCTTTTAAAATTAGCGGTTTTTCATTTACTATAATAGCCCAAGGCTCATCATATTAGCAGTATGTTCCTTTCCACTACAAAGTAGTAGTAGTCCATAGTAAGAATGGTTTATTTAGCAATTTACTCACTGTAGAATATTTGTTTCTAATTTGCAGCTATCCAGATAAAGCTGCCAAGAATTTCTTAAAAGTTTTTGTGCCAAGATAGTATGACTGCTGGGTCATGTTAAGTGTATGTTAAACTTTTAAAAAATTTCCAAATTATTCTACCCAGTAGCTCTATTTTTATATTCCTATCATTGGTGTACGAGAAATCTAGTTTGTGTCCTCAAAAGTATTTGGTATTTTCACTATTTTTTTCTATAGCAGTCCTGATAAGTATATGCCACACCATGCTATAGTTTTAAGTTGCATTCCTCAATATATATTCACATAATTACTTGCCATCTATATACCCTCTGTAGTGACAATGTTTATGTCTTTTTTCATTTTCTACTGGTATTGTTTATTTTTGAGTTTTAAGTATATCTTTTTTTCACTGATCAGATGTTACATGGTTTCACTGATCAGATATTACATGGTTTCCTCTTAATTTTTTGCAGAATATAAAGTTTTAATTTTGATGAAGTCCAATATATCTACTTTGTTTTCTTGTGAAATTGTGCTTCTGAGTTGAATATTAAGTACTTAACTCCAGAAAATTTTTTCTTTAATATTTTTTTCTAAGTTTTTCATATTACATTTAAATCCATGATACATTTGGAAGTACTTTTAGAATATATTTTGTTGGCTTGTGGACGTTCAATTTGTTGAAAGGACTGTCTTTTTTTTTCCTTGAATCACATTTGTACTTTTTCAAAATTAGTTAAGCATATTATTGTGGGTTTATTTCTGAATTTTCTTTCCTGTTGGATTGATTTTTCTGCAAATATAGTATCTTGATTACTGTAGCTTTATAATAAGGCTTGAAGTTATATAATGTAGGCCCTCCAACTTTTATCTTTTCCAAAATGGATTTAGTTTAATATTGTATGCCAAGTATTTTCATCTGCCCTATAAAGAAGAAAATGAATAAATAATAATTGTGGTGGGAGAGAATTAAAGAAAATACAACATTTACACTCCATATGCCCTAAGAATATTATTTGTTTTCAAATTTAAGTATGTCTTAGAATCAGCTAAGTAGGTCATGTAGATTTTTAGGTTCTAGCCTCAAAGACTGAGTTTGATCTCTGAGCAATTCTGATGCAAGTGGTTCTGGAATACTGAAAAACAACAATGTAGGAAAAAATAAGGAGACAAGCCAAAATCCCAAATATCACTGTGGTTGGGACTATTACTATCTGTTTTCTTTCTTTTCACTCTTTTCCCAGTTCCCACTTTAGTTCCTAGGATGTAACAGGTACAACTCTTTTTCTGAAGACACATTTAGCACTAGTGGCTACATATGAAGGAATACTACGAACATCACATTTTTTAAAAGCATGATTTCTATTACAACCTAAATCCTAATATTTCTTTAAAAATCATGGTCATATTATAATTAAATTCTTAGAGTCAGTAAGAATTTACTTTAGACTCAAATAAGCTAGAACTCATTAGTTTGCTTAAAAGGGCATGCACACAGATTCAAATTTAGATATATCATAATACATATTTAGAGATCAAGAAGGAAGCCATGATACATGATTCTAAGTGAGTATAATCAACAGAGGTCAGTGATAATGAGCTACCTGCATGTTTTTCCATTAACTCTATAGTACTTAGGATTCACTTGCCTAGCAGAAACATCAAGCTATAAAATAGAAATACCAAGTGCTATTCTTCCTTTACTGTATTATATAGGATGGTTATGTCTGAAAATAAAAACGAAGACTTCAAATTCTAAGAAGTTTATGTTACTGTTACACATCTTTAGCCCCACCATTTGGGAAACAGAGGAAAGTAGATTTCTTTGAGTTCCGAACCAGTTAGGCTACATAAGACATTGTCTCAAGAAAAAGTTTATGCTATAATAGTTATTAATTAATTGTTAGTGTTAACATTAAATGTTTATTCTCAATGAAAATAGTTTTCATTTAATGCCAGGCATGGTAGGTAGCACATGCCTTTAATTCCAGCACTACAGAGTCAGAGGCAGGTAGATCTCTGAGTTTGAGGGAAGCTTAGTGAGGCAGTTTAGTGAGGTATACATAGTGAGTTTCAGGATAGCCAGAGATACACTCTGACGCTCTAGCTCACAATATATACGTGGTGTGTGTCTGTGTGTGTGTGTATAAATATTCTTAAAACTTAAAGTAAACCTTTCAGACATTTTGTTCTCAGATATTCCTTGCTAATGTACTTCCTTATGCCCCTTACAAAAGAGTTTTCATATTCTGCTTAAGTCATCCTGCATGTTTTCTTTTTAAAGTAGTTATAGGTAGGAGAATTCTATAAGCTCTGGGGAAATTTTAAGAAAATGTCTTCTGTTTTTATATACATCAAACTATTTGTTGAGATATAAAAAGTGCTGTTATATTATTTGCCTATATAGGAGTTGTGTATAGTTTTGGACCATATTCAGCACAAAAACTGAAAAAAACAATATTACCACATTTTTTGTTGTTGTTTGTTCTCCTGTTTTATTCTAGGGAAGACAGCTCTTCCATAAGCTCTTCCTTTTCTTGTTGCAACTCTTGCAAATGTTGCTGGTTTTGCTCCAATCTGTCCTCCAGCCACTGCAGTAGAGGCCCACTCACTGCTGACATCTGACTGCACAAATTCTTGGTAAATACTTCAATAAAAAAGAGTAAAAAAACAGATGAGATAACTGGAAAGCACTATCCACTGGCATGTTTCTACTATACTACTAACAGTGCCTCAGTTGTGGGCACAGATAAAAGGGCTTGAGGGAACAAGTTTCTAAAGTATAATAAGTAGGACTGGTAAATGATTTTCAGTAGTCAACTAGGGGTGGGGTAGGGGAGAGAAGAGCTGGGCAAAGCAGACACATATTCTGAAGCCCTAGATCCATAAGCCAAATAGAAAACATAAAACATGTAAAAACATAAAATTGAATTTTAAAAAAGGAGAAAGATGGCTAGCTCTTCATTTCTTCAAGTTAAAGGGCTAAGAAAGCACTCTCCAATAGGACTCTACTGTCTTCTCAAATGGAAACAAAATTAAGTCTATGAAAGTTAAGCTTGTCTCTTTTGTTCAGCACTATAGTCTTCTGCCTAGAAGGTTATCTAGCAGGGAATAGGTACTGAAATGGTTTTTTCTTTGTTTGTTTTGTTTTGGATGAACAAAAGAATGAGTATTTAGTATCTAACGTAGCTTTCACTAATTTGAAATTTTTGAATAAATATGAATTCTTTCATATACATGGGCCTGTTTCTAGGCATTGTCCAGGTTCACTGATCTGTTTGTCTACTTTTGAGCTATTAGTATATATTTAAATAATTGTGATTTTAGAGAATGGTTGTATACTACATATTATCAATTTTAGCTCATTGTCATGTTTTACACAGATAGAAATGATGGAATATACCAAGCCACAATTCTCATCTTTTCTTCCCAAAGCAGTTGCCTACCAATTATATCAGAAAATTTTCCATTGGTTGTTGTGTTATATTCATTTAAATCTAGCAATCATGAGGCACAGGCAGGCAGATCTCTATAAATTTGAGAACAGCCTGGTCTACATAGTGAGTTCCAGGATAGCAAAGGCTACAAACAAAGACTCTGCCTCAAAATTAATTAATTAAATAATTGATTAATAAGAAAAGTGTTCCACTCTTCCTCATCTTTCTTACCTTATCCATGTTTTGTTGTTGTTGTCATCATTGTTTATTTTAGTGTTACTTTTTTTTAAAAGTCAGGGTCTCACTCAGTAGCCAGATTTTTATCATGGAATTCTATATATACTAGGCTGCCCTCAAACTTATGGCAGTCCTCCTGCTTCTGCCTTTCAAATGCTCGTACTACAGACATGCAATACCACACCCAGCTTAGTCATTAAATAGGGAAATCTGGGTTAGCTAAATAGTAGGTATAGCTGGAAATGTCTCTATGTTGAGGAAAGTAACTTGGTATATATACTATACTGAGTTTTTTTCCCCTTAGATTTGCCCAGGAATCCCTTCTCTATTTATTCACATGGAAAACTTCCTACCTGATATATTCCCTTTCCTATACCTGCCTATTTCTTTCAAGTCTTACTAGAATAGGTTGGAGGTAAAATCAGTTCATAAAGGCACATTACTAAAATTTCTGGAAGTTATTGAGCATCCATGCTATAGAAATCTATAGAAAATAGGATTCTCTAAGAGGTAGTGTGTAGGCATATAATAGGACACCACCATGCTAGTCTATAAAAAAAGTTTTCTAGTTTTCTTTCTGTCTTATCATAAGGCCACTTTATAGTCTTTAAGGGTCTATAGGTTTCCAAGGAAATATAAGGAGCAAGATTAGTTATAGTTCGTAGAAAGAAAACTCCAAGATAAACTACAATTGCTTATATAAAGTGTCAGAGATCACTTCATACTCCTGAAAAGAAAAAAATCTTACCTGAGCCATTATGGATCTTGGTCACTGAGTCCAGGTGTGTAAGGCTAAAGCGATACGGTACTTTAGGTTAGCAATGAAGCAAAAACAAATGTGTATAACAAAATCATAACCTACATTAGACATTTGCCCATTGGATTAGATGAGCATAATGATTTGAGTTCATTTTAAATTTGTTTGGGGGACATGGTTTTATTCAAAAATTCAAAAGATGACTCAAAGACATGACTATGAAATTTCTATTTCTCACTGAAGGTCTTGATGCACTATGAATTTAATAGACAAGTCCCAATACTTGACAATGGTAGTACTAGGATATAATTTATTTTATTTTCACATCCAGAAAAGGAAGTGTTTTCTCTTGAAGGATTCAAAATATCAGAGGCAAGATAGCAATGTTAAAGAGATCATTATAATATAGTGTGAGAAACATTATTTGAGGCTGCTGTGAAGCTCTCTTCCAGTCAGGTAGAAAGAAAGGAGACTCAGAAACCGAGCTATTAAAGATAAAGGGTCTTCACTGAATTCACAAAAGAAATAATAAAAGCTGTTACCTGTGAATCCTTCTATATGCATCCTGTTCTTCCTGACACAGGATCTTTGGCAGCTCTACTGCAGATTCAAGGCATACTTTCCCAATAGTAATATGAGGTACAATATGGATTGGGATTTCAATTCTCTCATACCTGCAAGACAAACAGTTTAGGTCATATTTTATCTTTATACTTTTAACTGAGACTTTGGAATATAAAGTGCTTCAAAGATTACTTATTACTACAATTTATTAAGTGACTCAATTTGTAAGTGGACAGAGTTCAAATTAGGCTTTTCTGGAGAGCAAATTAGAAGTCTATTTGTACACTCAATATTCTCTAGACCCTTAGAGAATTTGAATCCATTCCTGCAATTTTAAAAGAAACCTTTGGGAACTCAATGTCAGTATGGCCAGCTATCCAGATGAAAGAAACAATTAACTAATACTACATTAATCAGTAAGTTGTCATGAAGCTGAATAAATTGATTACAATGAAGATTCTTCAGTGACTCCATCAGATTCATTTTGTAGATGGAATTATTCACAAACATTACTAGCACCTCTCAATTTTTATTCTCTTCTGTGGATAAAACTAGGTAAGATATTACACATACATCCACTTCATGCTAGAGTGAAAGACACAGACAAGCTTGTTCTAAGTTCAATCAAGCCACCTGTATGTATTTCTCACTTGTAATATGCTTAAACTCTACATAACAGTGGGTCAGTGGAGGATCCAGGCTGGGGGCCTTATACATTGTGAAAGCCATGGGTACACGGTGGTAAAGGTGAATAAGATCTAGTTCTCTGCTTTTTAATCTTACCCACCAAAGTGTCTTTAGGTCCCATATCATGACATAGATGAAACATACATGACAGGGAATTACAACTATCCTTCACGTCTCCATATTTACATAATCAGGGAACAGTTCATGAAACAAAATACAATAGTGGCCTTTGCAGAAAACTTTTAGGAATAAAACACAGTGATTATTATTAATGATAAGTCCAGAAACATAGAAGTCCATCTTCTATTCTTAGTTAACTTAACAAGGCTTCCAACTAAATTTTCTGGCTTCATAAGCAAAAAGGGTTCAAATAGTATAGCACATTTGAATATATATTTCTGTACATTCATAGAAAAAAACTGCTGGGGCTGGAGAGATGGCTCAGCAGTTAAAAGCACTGACTGCTTTTCCAGAGGTCCTGAGTTCAATTCCCAGCAACCACATGGTGGCTCACTACCATCTGTAATGGGATCTGATGCCCTCTTCTGGTGTGTGTGAAAACAGCTACAGTGTACTCATATGCATAAAATAAATAACTTAAAAATTAAAAAAAAAAAAAAGAAAAAAAAAGAAAAAAACTGCTGAGTTTCTGTCAGCTGACACAAACTCAAATCCTAGAACCAAGGTAAAAATCATAGCTATATAAAGCCTATGACAGAGATTCTGCCTCTGATAATGAACTAGTTGTTAGAGCAGTCTTCCTATGAAAACAATTAAAATTCACTGAAAGAAAAAACTATCTGACTGGAGAACTACCAAGACAATAAGTAATGGCAGGGCCAACAAATAAAGAGGGAAAATTTCCAAGATGAACTTCACAGTTAGAGCCAGCTCTCCCAGAAAAATATGATTCTAAATAAGGAAACTTATAGAAGTTTTCAAAAGTACTGATGAGTCCAGAATGACAAAATTGTAACCAAAGATATGCAAGAGTAGAGAAGCCTTATAAACTATTCTCAGGTGTATAATAGTAAACATACTAGGATTAAATTTGAACTATACTACACAGGGACTAGAAGTTTAACCTTAAATTATCCCAATTCTCAACTGAATATAAAGTAATCTGTTAGTTCTACTAGAGAGAATATAGAAAGCCACCAAGACCCTTTCACCCTAACAAAAATATACCAGATAATAACATATAACGAAAAAAATACCTATTAAGTATTAATACAAAAGTAATTCCAAATAAATTATGTTCTGGAAAGAAAAAATGAGTAGATGATGAGTAGAGCCCAGTGACCACTCTTCTCATTTGAGGCAGAGAAAAGTATATGATAGCACTTCACATATGACCTTAATGAACAGGGCTTGTAATTATATGGGTATATGTAAATAGATTGAAACACATAGAAGCCTTAAACAAAAAATTAATTTAACTCCCCTGTCAAATTTAATCCACAAGCTTAATGAGATTTGAGCTGAAAGGCAGAGTGATCATCAACATTTCATGTTTCTTAAATCAAAACTTCATGCTATACATGGGAAATGTAATAACCACTGGACAGATATCACCTCATACTCATATCCCAGCAAGAGAGAGAGAGAGAGAGAGAGAGAGAGAGAGAGAGAGAGAGACAGAGAGAGAGACAGAGAGAGAGACAGAGAGAGAGACAGAGAGACAGAGAATACAAACAGTAGAAGACCTCCACTAAGTTCTTGACATGTGACACGACTTTGACATATGTACCATGGCACAGCACACCTCCACACATCATACACATGTGCATGGAAGAACGCACAGATGTACACACATGTAATAAATATTTTTTTGAGCTGAGTATGTTGGTACATGCCTTTAATTCTAGCACACCGGAGGCAAAGACAGGTGGATCTCTGAGTTCGAGGACAGCTTCATTTACAGAGCAAGTTCCAGGACAGCCAAGACTGTGAAACCCCATACTGAAAAACCAAACCAAACCAACCAACCAACCAACCAACCAACCAACCAACTAACCAACCAACCAAATAAATATATTCTAAAAATCTACTTTGGTACAAATGCAGGTAAAAAGTAGCAGAAAATTATCTATTTAAGACCCTGTCTGAAAACAAAACAAAAATCCAAGCATATTACAATATAGACTAGGGCTGGAGAGATGATTCAGAGGGTAAAAGTACTTGTTGTGAAATTCTGACTTAATTTAACTCATAGAAAGTACAGTAGAACAAAAGAACTGACTTCCAAAACTTGTACTCTGATCTGCATGTGTGCAAGACACCATACACAAATACATATCTATAGCAATAAAAAAGTAATAAGCCAACAACACAATTTTATAACTCAAAGAGAGAAAAAAATGAACTAAACTAAACCTAAATAAAGAAGAAAGAAATGAATAAATAGATAAAATATAACAAAGAACATAAAATCAAAAGAAGGAAATAAAAAGTTTTCTTTTTAAAAGACCAACACATTGACAAAACTTCAGCAAGATAAACTAAGGGGGAAAGGAAAGATGAGTCGAATAACTAAATCCAGAATTGGAAGGGATAATTAAAATCAATAGCAATGATAAAGCTGGGGAAATGGTTCAGCAGTTAACAGTACTGACTGCTCTTGGAGAGGACAGTCTAAATTAGGGTTTCTATTGATGCAATGAAACACCATCACCAAAAAGCAAGTTGGGGAGAAAAGGGTTAATTGGGTTTACACTTTCATATCATTGTTCATCGACAAAGTCAGAACAGGAACTCAAACAGGGCAGGAACCTGGAGGCAGGAGCTGATGTAGAGGCCGTGGACGGCTGCTTTGTACTGGCTTGCTCCCCATGGCTTGCTCAGCCTTTCTTATAGAACCCAGGAGTGCCACCACCCACAATTGGTTGGGCCTTCTCCCATCAATCACTAATTATAAGAACACCCTACAGCCTTGCTTACAGCTCAGTCTTACGGAGGCATTTTCTCAATTGAGGTTCCCTCCTCTCGGATGACTTTAGCTTGTGCCAAGTTGACATAAAACTATCCAGCACAAGGACAAGGTTCAGTTCCCAGTACCCACATGGTGCACAGGCAAATATGCAGGCACAATACACATAAAAATAAATATTCTAAAGTGGCAATGAAATAAAAGGATTATGAGAGGATATTATAAAAAACTGTATACTAAAATTGGACAACTATAACATAATACTCTATAACAAAAAGTTTATTGTTCTTTCAAAAAGTTTTATTTTTATTACTATTTTATGCATGTATTTTGCCTGCATAAATATTTGTGCACCACATGTGCACAGTTTATGTGAAGGCCAGAAATTGATGGATCTTCAGAACTGGAATTACATACAGTTGTGAGCTGCCATGTGGGTGCTAGGAATCAAACCAGGGTCTTTTTGGACGAGCAGTAAGTACTTTAATCTACTGATCCATCTGTCAGCCCCTACAGTTTTGGTTTTCTTAAACGTTGAAGAAAATATTTCATGAAGAAAAGTAGTTATCTGCTTAATTAATTCACTGAGGTACCAATTTTTGAATATTCAAATATAATTTTTGAAGATACATTTAAACTTTAAATATCCTCACTTGGTTCCCAGAATTGGTGTCTTTCTGGAATTCAAAACACACATCAAGCCATGTAATAAAAATGGTCAGTGGTGGAATCAGTAGACATCTACCTATGAGACCAGGACGCTATACAAAACCTCCACCAACATTCCAAAGAAAAGGAACTAGTGAAATTGATGCAAATCAAATGAATAAACTTTAAAAAATGTAACATTTTAAAAATAATCAGTACCAGATGTGTAATTCCAAGTACCTGAGAAGCTGAGACAGGAGGTTCTCAAGTTCAAATTCATCCTGGGCAACTTAGCAAAACCCTGTCTCAAAATAAAATTTAAAAAAGAAATGGAGATATGGCTCAGTTGATAATAGTGCATGCTTAATCTGTATGAAGCCCTGGATTTGATTTTCAGTGCTGCATAAACCAGGAATGTTAGCACAGGCCTCCCCGGCACATTGGGAGGTTTAGGCAAAAAGATGAAAGAATGAATTATCTGTTAATCCTGTATAAGATGATATTACCTCCTCACACCTCTGTAATATAAAGACATCTTTCCCAGACCCCTTAACTCTACTGAACTCAGACCAGAAGCCAGTCAGGTTGGGAATGAAACATTTGATATTGTAGATGGTTATTCTGTCACTTCCAACAAGAACACTAAGAGCAGAGCTAATATTTGATTCAGTTAGTGCCATTATCATTTATCTAACAAATCAGTTTTGGTCTGAAATATAACATGGCTTTTAAGTACCTATTTTCCAGGACTAGGTTCTACATATTCAATAATACTAAGTACTCTAGGCCAACATACCTTTAGCACATAGTATTACATGGGATTCCTTTTAAAGTTCCCCCTCTCCC